CAATAATTCTGTATAAATTAACTCTGAATGTGACATGCTGTTTGGTTCTGAATGTACAATCTGAATTATGAATATTTTCATTTTTAATTTCATAATGATTAATGCATTATAAGATATGATTGTTTAATAAGACAACATGTAAAAAATAGATATTATAATAAAATAACGGATGCTTAATGATTCAGAATGTACTTTAATACTGAATCATTCAGCAATATTTTACTGTTTCATTCAGCATAGTATTCATTCAGAGATAAAAAACAAATCACTAAATGTTAAATCATTCAACACTAAATAATTATATTCAATCGCAAACAAACAACCTCGAAAAATAATAGTAGGTAAGCGCTGACCGCTAAAAAGAAAAGTCCGATAAGTCATAGTCTAAAGATGGAAGCTGAGGTGGTGAAAGATGAATGGTCAATGTCAGCAAGCTGGAGTGGGTGAGTGAAACGAAATGTCGAAAAATTATTAGATAGATTCATAGATACAATTCATCAAGATATTTATAATTTCAATCAATAAAATTTATTTATCTCGTTTTTCTTTTTTAAAGTGAACTTTCATATCTGTATTATATATAAATCAAAAGTGAATAATTATTTAAAAATTATATTTAAATGAATAGATTTTATTGATTAAAATTATAGATGATGTAATGAGTCATATATATCTATATATAATAATTACTCTGAAATGCCGCATTTGTTTGATTTCCTTCCTTTTTCCACGCTTATATTATTTCAACCTGTCGGCTTATTGTGCTCACCACCCTCCAACCACCTCCTCACCCATTTTCCTTTTCTTCTTCCTTGTCCTCTGTTTTTGCTTTGATTTGAAGGTTTGTTTATGCCCATTCCCTTGAGTAACCAATCTTATTAGTTATTTTATTTTCCTTTCTGGGCTTTCCATCGTGTTCCATTCTTTTCTCATATACATCATACATCTTTGAATCGCCATGGTTTTTGAGTTCCAATTCAGAATGCATTGGAAAGTTTTGTTTGTATTTTCTTCTGTTTTTGTTTCTTTTTAAACAACCCAGAGACTAATGAATGCACCACATCCTGCCGACGAGAGCCGATTGTTATCTGTTGATTTCAATTTCATGATGTCTGTTTTAGACTTTACTACTTAATTGTTTGGGGAAAATTATTATTAGTTCAATAAGAAGATACATTGAATCAAGCCAAAACTCTGGTTTTTATTCAAAGTCAGGTATTAATGAATTAAATGATTTTTGTTGGATACGAAATTATCCGTCCTCTCTTAGATTATGAATTACTACTATCAATCATGTTAGATAAACAAGTTGAAATGAATTTGATTGATTCATTTAGTCATTCTAATGGATTTGAGATGGTAAAAAGTCTTTATGGAGTACTAAACAAAATAATAATTCTCACATCTGTAATCGGCTTGTTTGTTGGCAGGAGCAGGCGAATCCTTTTTCCTCCTGTGGACCTCACCAGCACTACAACCATGATTGTAAACGTGAAAGAATCGACAATGGTACAGCCGGCGGGGGAGACTCCGCGGCGGAGCCTGTGGAACGCCAACGTGGACTTGGTGGTACCCAGGTTTCACACTCCGAGCGTTTACTTCTACAGGCCGACGGGAGGGGCCAATTTCTTTGACCCGCAGGTGATGAAGGAGGCACTGAGCAAGGCCCTGGTGCCATTTTACCCCATGGCGGGGCGGCTGAAGAGGGACGAGGATGGAAGGATCGAGATTGATTGCAACGCCGAAGGAGTGCTCTTTGTTGAGGCTGAAACTACCTCTGTTATCGACGATTTCGGAGATTTTGCACCCACATTGGCGCTTAGGCAGCTCATCCCAACCGTTGATTATTCCGGTGGCATCTCCACTTATCCACTCTTGGTTTTGCAGGTAATTATTTTTCACCTTATATATCTTTTTTGTTATTAACTGAATATTTATATCTTTGACGAATATATATATATATATATATATATATATATATATATAAACGATATTTAAAATGAATAACATAAAAATTAATTACGAAATTGAATTATGTAATTTTTTATATGAATATCAAAATATATCCATTCGTATTCTTATTTTGAAGAATTAAACGTAATTGAAGATTTTTAATTATATTAAATTTAACGGATTTTACATATTAAAAAAATATTTAAATGTACAATTAATTATATTACTAATTTCAATTATAAGACAATTTTCAAAACATAGATTTAAAATTTATATTTCTAACTGTAAATTTATATATCACGATCTATTAAAAAAAACCTATTTATCTATCTGAAAGAAAACAGGAATTTTAGCCTCTTAAATGGAATCCTCAAATGGTATGGTCACCACTAGCCACAACTACTACTTTGGTTTTGTTGATGCTTTTGTTAAGTTTTTTTTTAAAATTAATTTATATAAAAGAATAAAGCAAAACTTAATATTAAGTTTTGGTTCGGTTTTGATCACCCGTAGTTAAAAAAAAATTGAATTGCTGACGTTGTATTTTTTTTATTTTTTCAATGATATACATCAGTATCGATTTTCATTTTGTAACAGAGAGTGATCAAAACGTAAGGTTAGATATGATTTTGAAAAAATATAATTAGGTGATCAAAATGGAACTGCGAAAATAGGTAGATGACTAAATATGTAGTTTACCCCAGACTCAATTATATACGTTGCTGATTTGGAGGTTACCAAGTAAGCAAGATAGCCCCTACTCCCACATTAAACCAAAATAGGAAAAAGTTTGGTGGGATGAAATTCATGTTAAGAGAAAGGAGACCAGTCTATTGTGGTAGTTGTGACACTGCAGCCGGCCATCCCACTCTATTGATGCATTTTCTAGTTTCAACATTTACAATTATTTGATTTGATTTGATTTGATTTGATTTGATTCACTAGTTTACGTGAGCCATTATATGTATTGTTTGCTGGCTGCCTTGCATAAGCATCCAATATTTTTTGGATCGTCCTAATTTGTTGTGCTGGTTGCCTTCCTACCACCTAATATATATTTAATTAATATCTACCTACTTAGAATGCTTGTTATGGCTTGAAATTAAGCAATGACCTATGCCATACTTATAGATATTATCTTGGAGAAAAGATCCTCTAAATTTTTAATCATTTATAGCTAGAGCTATATGTCATCCGTAGGGTCAAATCTAATTGTATATTTTATAGGCCTTTGATATTGGGAGTTATTTTAAACATGGATTTGGTTTTTGATTCCGTTCAGGTCACATATTTCGAATGTGGTGGAGCATCACTAGGTGTTGGCATGCAACACCATGCAGCAGATGGATTTTCTGGTCTCCACTTCATCAATACATGGTCTGATATGGCTCGTGGTCCTGACCTCACGATTCCGCCATTCATTGACCGGACCCTTCTCCGTGCTCGGGATCCTCCACAACCCACGTTCCACCACATTGAGTATCAACCTCCTCCAGCATTGAACACTGCACCCCAGTCCACGGGTCCTGATAGCACGACGACAGTCTCCATTTTCAAATTGACCCGGGAACAACTCAATGCACTCAAAGCCAAGTGCAAGGAAGATGGGAACAATGTCAGCTATAGTTCATACGAGATGTTGTCAGGTCACGTGTGGAGATCGGTCTGCAAGGCTCGTGGACTTACTGATGATCAAGGGACCAAATTGTACATTGCTACTGATGGAAGGTCTAGGTTGCGCCCCTCACTTCCACCTGGTTACTTTGGAAATGTGATCTTCACTGCTACACCAATTGCAGTGGCTGGCGATCTGATGTCGAAGCCAACATGGTATGCTGCGAGCCATATTCATGATGCATTGGTTCGGATGGACGATAACTATCTAAGGTCAGCCCTAGATTACCTAGAACTTCAGCCTGATTTATCCGCCCTTGTTCGAGGTGCACATACTTTCAAGTGTCCAAACCTTGGGATTACAAGCTGGGTTAGGCTACCAATCCATGATGCAGATTTCGGCTGGGGCCGGCCTATATTTATGGGTCCCGGCGGGATTCCTTACGAGGGGTTATCTTTCGTATTACCAAGCCCGGACAACGATGGGAGCTTATCAGTTGCCATATCTCTGCAAACAGAACACATGAAAGTGTTTGAGAAGCTCTTTTACGACATTTAAGCAAAAAAAAAAAAAAACCATCTACAGAAACTATATATTCTGAAACTGGTCCATATCAGACTTGCCAAACTTTTCCTTTCCCAATTTTTTCATACATGTTCATGTTTTAAAGCCTAACTTTTCACTTGAAATGTACCCTCATATTCAAGCTTTTCTGGTTACAAGCCATATGCTAATGCATAGGGGAAAAACAGTTTGGACATAAGTTGTATTACCGATTTCGGTTCAATATCGATGTTGAATATTATAACAATGTTAGCTCACGAGAAAGAGAGGGAAAAAGGTGGAAATAATTTAACATTTCCTATATGTTGGATCCTTGAATAACATCTGATTGGTTCTCCTATAAATGCATGCCAAGTTAGTTAAATAGGATACAAGGTTTAGTTGTAAAGGTGCATTGCAGACAGAGCATTTTTAGGTGTATCCTATATAGAAATATTCTAAAATTAAATTTAAAATAAAACTTGAGATTAAATTTCAGTCTAATTTAATCACGTGTTGATACAATTCTTAGAACCGACCGGAACACAGTTAGGCCTAACCGATCGAACAAGCTGCAACAAAATACACAGGATATGGACTGAGCCTGAGTTCTAATTACCATTTCTAGCTAAAATGACTTAAAATATTTCATAAAAAAAGGACTTAAAATCAACATACAGGGACAAACAAGAAGGGGAAAAAAAACTCCACAAACAGGACAAAGTAGGATCTGTCTGATGTCTTGTTTGTTTTGTTTGTGGGGATGTAGGTAAACGTTAGAAGATGAGAATTAAATGTGGAAATGATAGGATAAGGGTGAAGATTACATATAACGTAAAAGTTAACAGAAAGCAAGGCGGGTTGAGGAGTGAGGGAGCTGCGTTTCTTCTGCTGGGATGGTGGGGGACATTTGCACCACCGGTCGCACCTTTTCCACCCTTTGATTTCTTGGACTGAAAAAATTGTGATATTCCTTGTAGTATTCGTCTTTGTCGTCTATTTTTGCTGAGCTAACCGTCCTGATGAGATCTGCATTTCCAGCTGCTTTCAGGGGAAATGATTTCAACAGTCAAGAACAAATTAAAACAATGGAATTCTTCCTTTTACCATGGATGTCGTGTTGTTGAACAAAGGATCCTGAGAGATTGAAAGCTCGAGATTTTAGCAAAGGAAAGCCTTCAACCTTCCCGCATGAAACAGTGGTTGTACATAACAAAACCATAACCCATCCAAAAAACTTCAACGTGATTCCTTCTGGTATTAGTTTTTTCTTTCCCTAATAATTGAAGAGAAGAATGCAACTTGGTGAAGAAGTGGAAGAGAAGTGCCGTATTTATGAAGCGAATAGTAAAATGTGAAGATGCTGATGGAAAAGGTAGCGTTAGAAAGGAGCATCTTTTTAATGTGGCACCGAAAAGTAAATGCCATACCAATTTAATTTGATCACTTTAAATGTAGTGTGTTTTGCTGTAATGCCATTGTCTACTGAAGTTTCAGGAATTTTAGGTCGCATCTCTTCTGTAACCGAGACTGAGTTTATGTATAATTAAATCTGAAGGGGAAGTAGAACGAAAAGTTTAGAGATGTGGAACAAGGCTTTCATTGGTCAGTTAACAAGGAAGATTATAGCAGGACAAGGGCCATTATTATCCAAGGTTGACTTTCATATGACAAGTTTCTTTAAAGTACATGTTAGTTGGTGTTGGAGGAATACATTGAAGCTTAAAGAAGAGCCCAGTTTTGTTCAGTTATTATTATTATTTCTGGATGTGTACAATGTTTTCTTATAATGAAAATTTTGAATCACGACACAGTGGAAGACAACAAGAAGATTCTTGTGAAAGAGTTGACCAGCTTTTTTTTATAAAAAAAATCAATATAATGTTATTAGTTTTTGGATTAAAATGTTTATTTTTTATCCAATAACCCTGGCATATTTATTTACTTTTACATATAATGAGAATGGACTGAAGTATTTTATAAGAATATATTTATAAAAGTTTATTCAATCAATGATCATATGTGGTGTAATAAAATATTTAAATAAAATTATGTGATTTTTAACAATGATTTATAATTATTTTACTTAAAGAGTATATAAAATATTAAAAATAAAAATATATTTATAATAATATGAATTATTATTTAAAAATAATTTTTTTAATACCAACTAGGCTAGACATCTCCGTTAGAAGAATCACTTACCACAACTAGATGTGCAACGCGAGTCAATCCGGATTAGTCAAAACAATTGAATTGATGTTAAACTAATATATTACAAATTTAATTACTTATATATCTGTATCATAATTTATGTGATCATTATATATAAATATAAACACAATCAAAATAATTGCATGCGTAATTTTTTTTACTAAACTAAGATTATTATGAAGTTGTATAAACTTCAAATACTTTTAAATATTTGAAAATGAACATTCAATTATTCTTACAATCATTGGTACTTGAACTCATGATTTTTAGAAACTACAACGATTCATTTAACCACTGAGGTAAATTGGTTTATGTTGCATGTGTAAATTTTTAAAATATAAAAACTTATAATATTGATTATGTTATCGTTTCATATTGCATTTAAAATTCGGGTTGGTAAAGAATATTTAGGTTCATTTTCCTAAAAGCATTAGTATCTGGTTTTGGGATGGATATGAGACCGAACCTGATCCGAGTGGGTCAATTTTTTTTAAAAAAATTGAGTTTAGATCGGGTCATGTTGAATTTTTTAGAGGATAAGTTCAAGTTAGGTTAGATTTGAGTTTATGGTGAAAAATATCTGATCCTACTCGACTTGAAAAATAATATAATTATACCATATATATTTGGAGATAATTATATTAATACCCCTCTTTATATTATTTATTTTAAATTAAGTCCTTATTTTATTGAATAAAATTAATAATTTTATATTATTTTGAGTAAGCTCGGGTCAAGTTTCGAATAGGGTGAAATTACCCTAAATTCAAATCGAGTCAAATTTCAGGTGGAGAATGTAAAATTTTCGAGTCGAATTAAATTGACCAAAAACCCGACCTATATCCCTCACTTATTGGCTAACCAAGGTAAAGTAGTTTGGCGATAGTTATGTAACTTTAAAAATGAGTTTAAAATTATTGTAAAAAATGGATTTAAAATTCTAATACTTCTTTTCTTTTTAAAAAAAGAGCATATAATTTTTTATATTTTTATTCCCTTAACCTATTAAATAATTTATTTAAAATAATAGGTATTCATTAGGGGCGAAGTGCATCAGCCTCTGTATGCAACAGTAGCTATCGATCAGATGTAGGGATGGCAAATGGGCGGGTCGGGTGCGGATACACCCTCCCCCATCTCCATACACACCTATTATTTTTCAATCTACCACCCGCCCACCACCCATGATGGGTACAAATTTTCAAATTCACACCCGCCCACGCGGGTACATTTTCATATCTATCCCACACCCCACTACCCACTAGCGACATACACATCTAGACCCGCCTGACAACAAACTAATGAGATGTTGGAGTTGGTTCCCAGACAGTTCGTGATGGGGTAGCAGCACATGCTTCAATTTTTCAGAGGAGTGGCTCTACGAATGTTATGGAGATAGATTGTAGGGAGCATGTAGTCGCAGAGCTGGATTGTTGTGTTGCTTTCGATGTTAATGCTCATAGTACGCCTAATATGGGTTTTGGGGGGCTAAAGAACATGAAAACTGCTACTTTTGATGTTAATGCTTATAGTACGGCTAATTTGTGTTTGGATGGGCAGCATGGGCTAAAGAACATGGAAAGTGACGTGGTTAGTGGGATTATGGGTTTAATCAAAGAGCCGAATATTTCCCTAATTAAATACCAGATTAAAGACTAAATATCCTTAATATTTGGTTAAATTATATGTTATATATTATATAATATTAAAATTTATAAATTAGTCTCTAAAATTACACCTAAATTCATAATGGTCCAAAATTTAATAGATATTTAGCTGGGCGGGCGGATGCGGGGCGGGTAATGTCTCAAACCCATTATCGGCCCACTACCCGCTAAAATTATACTCATCCCCGCTCCAATTGGAGCGGATGCGGTGCGGAATCCACAAAATTGTACCCGTTTGCCATCCCTAATAAGATGCCTATTTTTCTCTCCACCATTCGCCATAAGCCAAAAACGTGTAGGTTTTTCATGTGTTTATGTTGCTTAACCTTTCTCCATTCTCCTTCATGGTTAATTTTTTATAAAAAAAAATTATTAAATAAATTAATTTATGATATCAGATGTATCATCGTTAAAATTTATTATGAGAGTAACATTTTCAACTAAATTTTCATTAAATATGAAATTTTAATAACAAATATATCATCACCAGCTGCTTGAAGTCTGTGTGACCTTCACATTGGTAAGCAAAACTAAGAGTATTCTACATTTGTCGATTGTCACCAGTATTTTAAATTTTATTTATATTATCGTTTGCTCCCGTGTTGGCGTCTATGTAGTGGAAAACCAAGAATATATACGCATAGAACAAGAGGAAACAGACAAATCTGGTAGGTAGTCTGCAGAAAGAATACACTCTGAATATTTGTTGAATACGTGAGCACTGAGCTGAGAAGATGGACTAGTCTCTTTGATACTAAAACAATATTTTCTTCCACGGAAAATTTTGAGTATGTGAGAAACTTGAAGACTATTCTTCCTTTCATACTAAAACAATTTCTTTTTTCAATGGAGAAGTTTAAGTCGTGAGATGAGTGCTGTGATTTTTCAACACCTACCTACGACCATGTCTTCTCCCCTTGCCCAACATGCATGATGCATGCAGTTTCATTTATCTATAAATACCCCATACCATATATCACTCATTTGCAACTCACCTCATTTTCTTCCAAAATGAATTCCCTCACTACTTTCTTCCTTTTGCTTTCTCTTCTACTGCTTTCTACTACTGAAGTTCAAGCAAGAGTTTTTTCAGGTAATTATTATACGTACATACAAGGAATTCACTATTATGTTTCATACTATTTTTAATAGAGAAAAAATACGTATAAACTATTGTTTTTATAATTTGTATCTACATCTAAAAATGTTTATCTTATTGTTACGGTGTTATACAGAGATATCCTTTGACGGTGAGTTGATAGTTGTGAATATGGATGGAAGAATCTCAAGCCTACCACCTCCATCTTTAACATCATCGCTGCAACCAGTCAAAGAAGTAACATCATCATCATCATCATCATCGTCACGATCAATCTTTAAAATAATATCTGATATAATAAGATGGATTATGAATAGTGATGCTCCTGTTCTAAAGACACCATCGCCAATTGAACAGCAACTAGTGCTTCCTGCTCAGATAATGTCACCAACACCATCATTGCAGGCATCTCCCTTCATACCACGTCCACCACATCAGGCAGTGCATTCTCCTCTTCCCATGAATAATATTAATACCATTAACATCAAAGATGAATAATATGAGCGTTAATAGCACACCGCCCAAAAGAGTTACATCTATGATAACACACTTTTAAAGTGAATCTTCAAATTTCTTGATTTTATCATTTACCTCCATCTTCATCTTCAAGCTAATAATGGTGAAAATGTTAAATTTCTGATAATTTTACTGTTCCATAGGTTGGTGTTTTAGTATTCTTTGTTGTGGTTTAAGTATGTCTTTGGAAACTTAGTCTTTAGCAATGTATTGATTAACAATTTGAGAAAATTATGGCATCCTTTGCCTTTCCATCGTCCTTTTTTGAGTTGAATGTTGATGACTAATGAATAGATCTCAAACTTTAAAGAAAAGGAAGTGAAATTTTAAGATTATCATATATCTTATTTAAAGATTCTTAAAACTTAAATTCTAAATATATAATTTATATCATAATTTATATTGATATTTTGTTTGTAAAATAATTTTTTATTGTCGATGTATGAGATAATAATCCTAGAATAAATTTTAAATTTTTAGAGCAAATAAAGTATAAACTTATCATTTTTTTAGTTTACAATGCTATAATTTTTTAAGGGGATAAAGTACAATTTTACTTTTTCATAAGGGCCAAAGCTGCTATTTGTCCCGACCCCTACCTTACTTTTCATTCATCAATATTATCAATGAGATGAATGTTACCACCAAACCCAAACAACGTCTACAACCGTTTGTAGCAATTTTATCAAGATCATGCGCACGTCGATTTTCATCCTAAGACCATGTTTTAAAAAAAATCCTAAAAACTTAACTTATTCGTCATCAACATGGGTTGGTTCAAGTGAAGTAACTTCGCTTAAGAAAAGTCTCAAGTTTGAGTCTTTATGTATGTAGAAAATCTCTATTAGGAGACTCACTCACCAAAATAAGGTGTGCGACACTGGTCGGTTCGAATTAGTCAAGAAGAAGACTTAGAACCGAGAGGACAATAAAAAATGTTATTCTTTCTTGAGGTCTTACGTTTGAGCAACTATATGCATTATAATTTATCAATGATTAAAAAATATTATAAATAGATAATATATTATAATCACCACAAATTATTAAAAATCCTAAAAACTAGATTAAAAGATGCAAAATTTATGGGAAATTAGATGCTCAAACTTGATACTCAAATTATGAAATTTATGGAGAATTAGATGCACAAACTTTATACTAAAATAATGAAATTTATGGGGGAATTAGATGCTCAAACTTTATATTAAAATTATGAAATTTATTTATAAATAAAAAAAAAGACCTCAAGCTATATATACGGAGTATATAGGAAATTTACAAAAGTAATATATAAATAAGAAAGAGTCCCTGAACTATGACGATTTCTAGATTGAACTATCTTTGTTTTCGCCCAAATTACTCTAAAAAGTACGCAGCGTCCAATAAAAAACTCTATATATCAGGTTTAAAAGGAAAATCTGAGAGGTAAATGAAGGAAGAATTGGAGAAGAGTTCCCAATCAACAAGATCGTTTTTTATCTATGTTTGCTGCGGTCTAGCCTTGGCTGTTGGATTTAGGTTGGCCCACAATGTTTATTCTATCAATCTAATATTTGATCCCACCAGCACTCTTCGTTTGATCTGGGTACTCCCCCTCCCCCCTGAAATTTCTCTACTTTCTTCATCCTCTCTGATTTCCTTTTACTTTTTTATGATTTTTTTCTTTGTTAGGCTATTGAATTCCCAGTTGTTATCCTTCTTTATAGTTGCTGTAGACAGAAACCGGAGAAATGCTCGGTTAGCATACAATTCCAATGAATTTTTTATTACTATTTATTGTTTTTAAGTGTTTTATGAAACTTTTCTATGTTGGGGTTTTACAGTATTTAAAAGCTATTGCCCGAGGTCTGCTGGGAATTCCTGTTGGTTAGTGTTAAGCTGATAATGTCACTTGAATACTATAATTTCAGCAATATTATAGCTGTATAATTTGTATGTCTTTCAATTTCCAGGGGCTCTACTAAATGCGCTTGGAGCTTTTGCTTTGGTGGAACCCGTCGGACTGCAGTAAGTGATCTAGAGTGGATAAAATCCACACCTTAGCATTACCACGATTGTGATAATATTATCTATGGCAGCACATCGGCCCTGCTTTTCAGTTTTCATTATAGTTTATAGAAGTTAGTTATTTCAAAATCATGCATTAATTGTGTTTCTTTCTTGTTGGCCGCAGATACTTAGAGAGGACCGTTAGCTGGTCTATTATGACGTTTTTATTGTTGAATCATGTTTTATAATATTTTGATATAATAAATTAAGTCAAAATGTTTATGGACCTGATTAAATTTTTTCAAAGTTTTTAAAAATAATTCAAATTCCATTAAACTAGAATTTGAACACGAAACAGTTTTCTGGGTACGTAGTACCGATATTGTTCTTATAGTATCGACATTACATGAACAGTGATATCGATACCAAAGGTAAGAGTAGTGTCGATACTCTCTTAGTAGTATCGATACTACCAGTTGTTTTTCAAATTGTTCAAATTCCAAAATGTAAAATTGGTACCGATATTCAAGGGGTACCAATACTACTTTACATAGTAGTATCGATACTGGTCGAGCCCAACAGTCTTTAACATCTACTTTATTTAAATATTATAAAGGTAGTATCGATACTCATTAAAGGAGTACCGATACTTCCTGTTATGGGCAGTTTTACTTTTGTAGAAAATTCATTCCCAACGGCTACAATCGACCACAAACTCATTCCAATTTCTGAAAACAAGTTGAGGACACTTGAAGAAGGTTACAACACCTATCAAAGCAATAGAGATAAAGAGAAAAACTCTTTCACTCTTTATTTTCCCCTTTCTCTTGTACATATATGTTTGAGCTTATTGCAAATCTTTCAATTGTTTTTCTTTTGAGCTTAATTCTTGTAAACACCTACCTTTGTGAGGTTTTCTTATTTACATTTTTCAACCTTTGTAAAAGGAGAATGATTCTAGTTTAGCCTTTGAAAAACTAAGTGTTTTGTAAAGGTTACTCTTAAGCCTAGAAAAAGAAAGAAAAAATTAGTGAATTTGTTAGAAAATCCTTAGTGTGGAGCTAAGGTAATGGATGTAGACTTGGTTTACAAGTCAAACCACTATAAATCCTTGTGTAAATTGTTTATCTGTTTTTACTCCATACCAATTATTTCAAAATGCCAATTCACCCCCTCTTGGCACTTTTCAGTTGATCAATTGAGCTTCATCAATCCTAATAATTGGTATCAGAGTTTGACTCATTAGAAGGTTTAACAACCTTGAGGCGAACCTTCAAGAAGTTCTATCGATTCCCGACGCAAGCGAAAAGATAACTTCAACCTCCGACTCCTACTACATTGAAGACTCTCAACTAGTCAACGAACCATCTTATTTCAATGGTACAAATTATGCCTATTGGAAAAATAGAATGATGCTCTTCATTCAAGCCAACGATCTAGGAGCTTGGAACTTTATTATGAAGGGATACTCTACTCCAATTGATGAGATGGATGATTAGAGTGATGGAGAGAAGAAGAAGTTTCAACTCAATACAAAGACAAATGCACATTCTATTTTGTGCAGTAGGCCCGGATGAATATGGAAGAGTCTCTTCTTGTTCAAATGCCAAGGAGATATGAGACAAGCTCCAAGTCACTCATAAAGGAACCTATGAAGTAAGAGAAACCAAAAATTGGTATTCTCAACCATAGCTATGAGAATTTCAAGATGAAACCGGATGAAAACATCAAAGCAATGACAGATAGTTTTTCCGTGATTGTCAACAGTCTCAAGGGATTTGGAGAAGTCATCCCTAATGAGAAGCTTGTGAGGAAGATGATTTACTCTCTTCCAAAGTCTTGGCAATTGTAGAAGACGACGATTATCGAAGCTAAGAACCTAAAGTCACTCACTTTTGATGAGCTTATTGGTTCTCTTCTCACTCATGAGTTGATAAAAAATGAGGAAGAATAAAAAGAAGAAGAAGATGATGAAGAAAAGAAAAATAAAAAGAAGAATGAGGTAGGCATTGTCTTTAAATCCACCAACGAGAGTAATCAAGACTCAAGTGAAGAGGTGGATGAAGAAAAAGAAGAAGAGATGGCCAAGCTCTTCAAAAGATTCATGCCTTCCAAGGAAGTGAAGCATGAATCAAGCAAAAAGATGTGTGCTTCGAATGTCTAAGAACAGGGCATGTCAAGTATGATTGTTCCCTCCTAAAGAAGAAGGGATCAAGTAAGAAGAAGACATTTGTGGCGGCTTGGAGTGATACAAATAACTCCAATTATGAATATGACTCCAATGATGAAGATGAAGTAGCCAACATATGCTTCATGACCATCGAAGAAGATTCAATTGTAACTTCTAACTCTAGTGAATTAAATTCTTATTCTTTTAATGAGTTACAAGTTGCCTATGATGAATTGTATTTAGAATTTGAGACCATAAATTCCAAATATAAGAAATTGATCTCAAAATTCAAACTTGAAAAATGGTTTTTTAAAGCAAAATTAGATTTTGAAAAACAAAATGAAATTTTGAAAAATGATTTTGAGCTTTCAAAAAAAAAAAAAAACAAAACAAGAATTGAAGATTTGAAAAAAAAAAATCTTGAATCGCAAGTTAAGCTTGAATGTTTAACAAAAGAAAAATAAATCATTTTCAAAATCAATTCATCTATGTTAAAAATGACAATATGCTTACATTGTCATTTTCATTGTCACAATGTAAATACTTGTTCTATAAAGAAAAGAAAATCTTTTAAAATTAGACAAATATGAGTTCCTTTGGGAACTAGAGACATTGGTACTAATCTTCTAGGACCCAAAGCAATTTGGGTACCAAAATCCAATTAATATCTCTTGTAGGTGTGTTGGAGTAATAGTGATAAAGGTAAAAAAATTCAAATGCTCTAATCACACAAAAGAATGATGGGCAACCTCAAACCTTAAAGCTTTTTGATTTTGTATATTGGTTGCCTATTGATTTTTTTTTTTGGCATGCATGAGTGTTAAGCATGAATGATTATTTGTTGTTTTCTATCTCAAGTATGTTGAAAAGTATATTATGATGAACATTTTTTTTTTGGTTTGCTAAACGACTTTATAAAATTCTAGTTCATCATAAAGTTTTTTTTTGGTCAAGTTGTGTTTAAATTTTTTCTTTGACCTTAATTTGTTTTAAATATGTGTGCATGTGTTTGTTATTGCCTATGATATCTCTCTAACAATTGATATCTATGTTAAATGCATAACATTTTAGAATGCTTTATGCTTATGAGTTATAATGTCTTATTTGTTGATATTGCATAAAGTATGTTTGACTTGGATTTATTGAATTTCATGTGCTACTAATATGTTTTCTTTCTTATCTCATTGAAATTCAATATTCTTTTAAGTGTTAAACTTTTATGTCAAAAGTTTTCCTGCAATGCTTTTATTGAGGGGGAGTTTTGCTTTTTCAAATGATTTTATGTTAAAATTTTTACTTACTCTTTATTGTTGTTTTGAACCATTAAATTTGAATTATTTTTTATATAACAAAAAGGGGAGAAGTATAGGTTTGAAAATTTCAATTTCTCAACGAAAAAGAGGAGCTTTAATTTTTCCAAATATTTTTTTAATGAAATATTTTATTAAGGGTGAGTTTTGCCAAAAACAATTTTTCAAATGTTTTGTTATATAAAAAAGAGGAGATTGTTTAACCATGTTTTATAATATTTTGATATAACAAATTAAGACAAAATGTTTTTGGACCTAATAACATTTGTTCAAAGTTTTCAAAAATAATTCAAAGTCCATTAAACTATAATTTGAACACAAAACATTTTTCTACGTACGTAGTACTGATACTGTTCTTTCAGTATCGGTACTACATGAACAATATTAATAGTGTTGTTTGTAACATCCTCAATATCGGGTTAGTGACCAAATTATAAAGTTTCAAAAATTGGTGATTAAAGTAGGATAATTGAATAGTTCAATGATTTATTGGAAATATGATGAAGGTTATTCAATAATTATTAAAGGAAATAAAGGGTAAATTGGTCATTTGACTAGAAAGATTTTTATCTTTCTTTTAGGGTTATAAAACACGTGGGAAAGGAGAGAATTATCCAGTCTTCTTCTCCAGCTTCTTCTTCTCCCCGTAAGCCTCATTTAAAGGTGAGTTTAATTTCAGCAGTTTAATTCTTGGATTTATAAGTTGATTTTGATTCTTTGAGTATTATATAAGCTTAAGGAAAGCTTATATAAGCTTTAAACATCAAGAATAGAGAATTAGAAAGGAAATGATATGAAGGGTGTAGAAATGAAATTTTGTTATAGAAAGGTTTTTGAAGTTTTAAAGATGGATTTGACTTGTAAAGGGTATAATTAAGAAGTTAGAAGCAATAGAATTGAATTTGGAACATGTTGAAAATTTAGTGTAATTCTTGAATTTCATATGGAGAATAGGATTTTGATGTTATAGAGGTGATTAATGAATATGAATGAGTTTGAATATGAGTATGTAAGTTAAAAATAAGAAAGGGGATGATATATGAAGTATTAAGTTGAAAATAGTGGATTTTCGGGCTTAAAAGAGGATTCTGGGCAGAGTACATCGATGCACATTCATAGTGCATCGATGCATCAAGGTTAAAACCCAGAAATTATTTGAAGGTGTATTGATGCATTGGTAATGCATCGATGCACTCTTTTAAAATAGAAACATTGAATGCAATTAGTGCATCGATGCATAAGGCATGCATCGATGCATCCCAGTAATAATACAACATCGAATGCATTTTATGCACCGATGCATCAGTAGTGCATCGATGCATACCTTCATTAAAAGATGAAATTGGCTTTTCTCTGAGCCTAAGGAGTGATAGTTTCGAATATATCAATCAGTATACTGATAAGTATTAATGTATTATTATGTAGATATAGAATGAAAGCTTGTCCCGGAACAAACTAAGGATTAGGATTGATTCAAAACAACGAGGCCCAGGTGAGTGCATCTTATTGTATAAGATTATATGGAAATTGGACTTGTGATAAGTCTATTCTTATAGTAATAGCTCATTAAGTCTTGATTATAAGTATGTTAACGATATGAAGTGTATGTATGTTTGATTATATGAATTGATATGTTTTGTTTTGTATGTGCTATGTGGTTTATGTAAAAATACGGTTAAGTGTTAGTGAGAGAAT